GGAGGGGGAAAAAGGCAAACGTGAAGGAGCAGCAACGAAGCTTCACATTACCTGGCACCCAAGCCCAGCGCTATTTTGGTGTACTAAGGAAATCAGGCTGAATTTCTAGAGGTTTTATCAATAAAGATATCAGACTATCGATGAATGAAGAAAACATGAAGCCCCAATTGCTATTGTGGAATTCGAGAGGAGTTAGAAAAGGTTATTTAACATATTTTGACTTTTTTATTCTGAAAACGAAACTGATTAGTGCTAAGTTTGAAGTACTAAATATTAACTAAATAAATTTGAAGTACTAATAAATACTCCACCTCACAATGCGTAAAGTAGGTACTTCCAGCAAAATGAAGACGTTGCCATTAAATTAACTATTTATGCTCCTAGCACCATGCATGAATTGAATTAGTAGAAACAAATATTAAATTACCCAAAGTGGTGCCTTGGCTCCGTAATTTTCTTCGGTTTATTATTGAGCAGGTAGATGTCTGGTATAAACTTAAGCAGGACTGGAAGTTACTGCCTCCTGAGAAATACATTATTAAATTAATATAAAAATTTTAATCTAGTTATATGCAATTAAAGAGTGGACAGGATATGCTGCATTGATAATTTATACTTCGAAGGATTTACAATTACTAAGATTTAGTGGTCATTGAACTTAGAATAGACATCTTTATAGTAATCCAAATGTCAGTTTCAACATTATTACGTTTTCTCCTGCTATGTAATGTATAGTTTTATAATTGACATGCTAATGCAACTCATTAGAATCATTGAAAGTAATATGAATTCATACTGTGATCGTTGAAGCGAAGGACAGCTTTACTGTAATATTAAATTTATACGCATGACTATAATATGTATCTTCATAATTGGTGATTAATCAATGCAAGGATGAGGCATATAAGTAAGTCATAAGTAATTATTTCTTTATTTCACTTTATAACGTTTTGATTTAGAGTGTTCGTTGTATAATATATTTGATAATCAAGGAGTTTGTGAGAAGACTTTTTCTGGTGGCACGGATTTGAAATGTTTATGAATGCAAGTTGCGTCTTTACAATTTGAGTCGTAATAGAAATAAACGCGTCTGCCTTATAATCAAGACGTTACTTACACCTGTTCCTAAAGCTGCAATGTGATTAGATTCATGATATTGTTTGTATCGATTCTTGATGCTTTGCTAGAGTACTGCAAAATAGCCACTTTATAGCAAATTAAAATGATCATGTAACATTCAAACGAAGAGAAACTCTCTTGCACGGGCGGCATTTATGGCGCTAATTATGTTCTTAATTGGATCACTTTTTGAAATTTTAAAAATTAATCACGAGTGTCATAGAATTTTCATAGTCAAAATATGTAAATGCTATGTCGCTACATATCTTTCATATTAAAGAAATTTAAATTCAAAGCAAGCCGCAAAGTCGACTCCTTAGAAATGTCGTATATAGGTGTCAATATAGTAATAAAAGCTTAATTCATGTATCATGACTACTGATTAACATTCGTGAAACCATGTGTTAAGTAGGTTAATATATAGTTGTCTATGTCACATTACATATATTAACAACATTCATAGATTTCATAATTCCATCGTGTGATTGAAACATGTTAGAAGATTAATTGTTTTAAGACTTAATCAAATTGTACGACATACTTTATCGAATTTTCATCGAATAGTTTGTGGAATTTATTTATTTTTATACATTCTTGATCGCTGCGGCCGTCTTATATGTGGTTTTAGTTTTGATTTGCGAAGCATTGATGAAAATTTAGATCTAAAGCCTGAATTATTATTCAACGCCACCGAAATAAAAAAAATTAAATCCGGTAACAAATCTAATTACAAATGACGACCCGAAAACGAACTGCAGTGCTTTACTACACAAGTATATTTAAATCCACTGAAAGCTATAGTTTTATGTCTTTTTTGTAACTTTTTAAAGCCGAGAATAAACGAAAAAACTGTCAATAAAAGCGAGTTTTGATTTGAACTGCCGTTAAGTATTCAACTGTTCAACAAGCTTCTATACTTCGAATTGAGCGAGAATTCAATGAAACGTACATGAATTGAAATACAACCTAAGTGTACTTTCATGACTAATGCTGAGCACAGGATTTCCGAACTGCGTTTCTCAAGGATGCGTCAAACACCAATTTTAATTTCAGCCGTCACTGCGGCGATGCTTTTTGACACGGCGGCAGAGGAAACCACACGAAAACGGCTAAACCGCAGAGAAAGCCCGACGCTATACTCTCTCTAGCAAGGTCAGACAGAGGCAGGAAAAACGAATATCTTCAACAATTAAGCTAATTAATTTCTGTCGAAGGATGGCTGCAGTATACATTAATACAGCTTTAACAAGCGGTCTCAATAACGATTTGATTGATTTCAGTTTGTCAAGCAAATCCTACATTCATTCATATCTGAGGCTCGAAAATATATTTCTGAGCGTAGCTTGGGGTCACTGGGATCAATCATCATCTACCTCCCTCCCGCCGCCGCCGACCGCCGGCCGGCCCAAGTAGAAGCGTAGATCGCGTACGCAGCAAACAGCGCTGCATAACACGAGTGTCCCCGCCAGTAGATGTTTGGTAGAACGACGCTCATGACTGCTATGTTCACGAAGCTGTAGAACTTACTCAGCTGTTTATATAATAAAATTCCAGCAAGCTTATCGTTTGGTATGACTTGCATGGTTTATTTTTAGAGAATCGTACACTATACTTCATTCTTATGTTAGTGGAATGATTTTAATTTCTGAAAACAACTGTTCTTTATTTCCCATTGTGAATTCGCGGCGTGGTAGTTAGGCCTAACAGTCGCCGGTGTAGATAGAGGGGAGGGAGGTAGATTACAGATGGGGGACTCGAGACGAGTTGGGGAGAAGTTTGGGGCCCTCCCACCGTGGCTCCTCCTACCTTACAGCAAGGTGGCGGTGCACCATGTCCCGCTGATATACTAGTAAGTGTACCGAGATGAACGCAGAGTAGAAGTTTTCATGTAAATGTATTGTATAAAAATAAAGCATTTGTCACACCTACACCTTGATAGTACGAGTTTTTAACATTAGTTCGTATCTGCATGCAAACAATGTTGAATTTTTTAATGACATCTATGAAAAAAAAAACATGAAATGATGAAAGTCTACGATAATCTCAGTACCGCCCACTTATGGAAAATTCAGTCCATTTAAATAAAATGTATTTATTCATTAATGGCTCGCGGCAATTGATAATATTTCAGACCGGTTTATTTTTATTGTATTCGATTCAATTCAAGAGTATAAAAAGTTTTTAAAAAGTTTAAAAGTCACCACTTTAAATGTTTGCTATTCGAGCAAAATGGAAAAAAATGCACTTAAAGCCATTCTGTTCTGAACATATGAAATGTCTCTGCATGATTATAATATATTAAAAAATTCAAAGAAACTATCCTGTCTCAAGAATATCGATCGACAACAGTTCAAACCTACATCACATTTCTTCCTCAGGAAAGAAATGTTTTCTGTTTTCATGAGTATGCCGGCACCACGAGGACGCATATGAGTGTGGGTGGCATGAGTAATGATGAGAAACCGACGTACAAATCAATTACATAATTTAAAATTTCAAATTAGTATTATTGGGAAATAGCTTTCGCTTAGGTTTACATGACCGAAATCATAAACAATTCAATTATTGGAAGTAAATTTAACAAGCTGGGAACGCCTCGTAGCTACTCTTGGCGCCATCTATTGGGAGCCGGCTGAGTCACTTCTATCTAGCACGGGACCGACTAAAAGGCTTATGTGAATGTGACAAAGTTCTATTTACATAAACGTGTTCATCTCTATTTAGCATCTAGTTAAAATAAAGTTATAAATGACAATATCTTAATTTCATCATTGCTTGAAAACGTTCTCTTGAGCTTGAGAACAATGTTCATTGGTATTACCAAGTCATAACATAAAACTTATGGATAATTTTGCATTCTCGGATTTGAAAAACAAGGACCCTTTTCAGTTTAATGCATGTATTGGTCCTAATGACTCAAATTCAAGCCTTGCACCCTATTTAAGAGTTCAAGCACAATCTCATGGTGAAAGCTAGTGAACAATTGTCAATCATAGTTTACGAGACAAACTTTGAGCGACGTAACAATGATCACTTAATAGGAAAATTAAATATTTAATGTATTCATGATATTTGATATCTAAAACAATATTTTTACTATCTATGGTTTCGCGACGCCATCGTCGAAAAACAGTTGCCATTCACCCTCTTTTTGACACAAGCATCCTCTCTTTGCCCGGAGACTAGATAGCACAGCTTGGGAGCAAGCAAATGCATTGGTCACGGACGAATAGAAGATCGAACTACAAATACGCAAGCTCCTCTGCAGCTTTCTACAATATTCAAATTGGCTGTTTTGTAATGAAATTTGGGATTAATGTTTGGTTGAATTACTGCGTAGAATGAGCGATCTGTATCCTCGAGTCGAGAGTAGTCAAGTCGATATTTCTATGGAATAAGTAGAGGGAAAGTAATACATAGAACCGAATGGAGATTCAGTGCAATGAACACTAATAGTTAAACAATATAGTCACTCTAGTCTAGTATGCGGTTATTTGCTGTGGTGTCTGGTGTTACTAACTCCCTGCATTGGTCAAACGATTAAAATTTTTGCAGGGCCAAGGACAAGCCAAGAAATTAATACTTAGAATAGAAGTGTCGGCGCTGAAGAAATAGGCCTACGGCCTGTTGCCGATTCTTGAACTTTTCGTGACTTGATTCACAAGGGATCCGGCCTTTGGAACCCGATCTTTCCATAACTGACGATTGATTGAGATAGCTGCTGGACTTATTGCCTGGTCCGTAATTTGCTAGGCATTTTAAGACTGAACATATGCTCCTGCATAGCCTCGTCTAGTCTGTTTTTGAAGGTGTTCATACTCGGAGCGTCAACGATGCTATATACTTTTTCAGATGCGCACGGGTGTAGAGAAACCACTGACTGATTGAACGCATTATTATTTAAGAAACGACAGATATAGCAGAAGAGTGCTTTCGAATGAGTTTATACAAATGATATGAAGTGAGGATTAAAACTAGTACGCTTAAACTAAGATTCAACCTGGGTCATCACCATAATGGTAATAAAAATACAAAAAGAGGAAGACAAGCTACCATACAATAAGATCAAGATCATTACTAAGTGCAGCAGGAAACTAATATTGGCAGGAACTAATTGCAGCGGTGGCATCAAAACCACGAGCAATGCAAATACTGGCGGCTCTTAGATGGGCATCAACACGAAGCTGTAAGTCGTACCAGCACGGATTTCATTGTCGCGCAATGTAACTTATTCAAAATAAAATATATTGAAACACCGAGTTTAGATCTGACTATTACAAACATTATAATAGAAGATCAAGCAGATGGTTCTGCGTTTAGCGTTTATAGGTGCAGTGGAAATTATTTTCACGATTGTCCACGTTATTTTGGGTCAAATATGGCAAAATAATAAAACAAGAACTCCAATATGAGTGATTTTCGCAAGATTTTGTGCTTTCTACAAAAACCACATGACCTTTTCAATCGCCGCCGATGATTTAAAAAAAACTATCGATAGCCTATTCAATCTACATCATGCAACGTTGTCTACATCGCACCCACTTTATCTGTCTTTGCCCCAACTACGAATTAACTTATTTAATGAGCAGAAAGTTATTCTTGCGCTGAAAATATATACCTCATACGAAAAATATGAATAGAACAAAATTTAGCGGAGACCTTACTCAGGTAAACATAATTTTTCCCTTAATGTTTTACATGGATAATTGCTTTAGATAAAAGGTACAAAAAGTTGTCTCTGAATGTGATATTTAAAGCATTTAAAGAAACTACTGTTCTGAAGACCTGAATTGAATAAGATCTGACTAAATCATACTTCTCGCAAATCAAATCCAGCAGCCTTGTTTGGACACCCTCCAAGCTTGATATGATGGATACCAGACATTGGCATTTTCCGTTCATATCATGGACAGTGCTTACAATTTCCCAAGCAAATCCGGGTTAAAATGGAAGCTAATATATATCTCAAATATAACCGCGACGGACGAAGTAGATGATATCTGTAAAGTCTAAAATTTTCTTCTGTCATCACTTACAAAGACGTCTCTGAACCAGAGACTTGTACACATCAATATTAATTTTTCCATTTATAAAAAGCGCAGAACTCAAATAGCATAAGAAAACACAATGTAACGGTATCCAACGACCATCTCCGCAACATTCGTTATTAACAAGAAAGCTGCTCGTGATATTTGCACATCACATTCGACATATTACACCGATAGTTTATACAAATATTCACAACTAAAACACAGAGGTCGAAACTCTTAAGTTCTATTGGGTTTCATTATCATATAAGAAAATAATTATTCGTTAAAAATGTTACAAATGCAGTTTTGGTAACCGCGTAATGCCATAAAAGGGTAATACGTATTGATGAGAATCGTTGTGGCAAGCACGCGCTCGACACAAATGTAGTTGTAAATTAATTAAAAATAAAAGCTGACAAATACTTCCAAGAAATTAAAGCTGGCACTTATATTTGCTTAACCGAAAAGATGCTAAAAAACGAGACACGCTAATCACATCAAACGAAAGGTTTTGGCAAACTGAGTTTGGCTCTACAATACCATTGCAAATGGCCAGTAATTCCGATTACTTAGACTTAAGAGGCCAGCAAAAACTTCAGGCTCTATACACAATAGACAACCAGCGTCAGCATCCCGATCTCAGAGCGAACACATTTTTAGATAGTCTCGTCGTAGTTGATTGAACATAACTCGTAACTCGTGATTACCTTCCACAGAACTTGCAAGGTGCAGTCGAGCCTCTGATGTTTCTATGAATTTCCAAGATCGTATACGAAATGACGATCAATTAGCAGGATTAACAGGTTCTGAAAAATCGTAGTTATTCAATAATCGACACTATTTGCCACTCAGGCTTTGAAGAAGCTCAGCTTCCACCGCAACATTATTCATTCAATTAGAGTAATATTTATAATAATAATGTACATTCATGCAATTACAAGGATGATTTGCCGGCTTTCAAGTTTTCAAAATCAAGTTTGTCATTGTTCAAGTTTGTCATCTTACGTCATATACATTACAGATAAAATCGAAGGTCACTGATTCCAGCGTATGCACGAGATTAAAAACGATTTTCAACAAACGTTTAGCGCAAGGCCAAGAATGTTTCAGACGTTTTGTGCCAGATGCTCATACAGAACTAAGGCTCTTGGAAACAATGCATCTTGCATACAAAGCAAGTTATTAAAATAACAAGGACAACCCAAGAGCGTGCACACCGATGACGAATAGTGGACTTCTGCTTAATTCAAACGGAACCTTAGGCAGTTACACGAGAAACAAACCTCCGCACATCATCCATCCATTGATATAGACTTAAATGCAGAGCACCGAAAGATTTAAGAGCGAAACAAGAGTATTGAAATGGAAGGGAGTAGACAGGACGTGCATCATTAGGCGTGGCTGTTAAAGAGGCAACTACTGCCATGCGAGGATGTATTGCAACGTCACGAGGCAATGACAAGGCCTTCGAAGAACGTAAATCTTCTAGAAATGAAGGAATCACAATGAGAAATTACAAACTTCTAGTTATAACGGACCGCGTGCAACGGCAAGTAAGGAAGTAGGATATTGACTTCCGTGAAGAACCTCATTAGGTCAGTTACGTTAATTACGGTCTCTTCTGTCAAAATACAAACAAAATCATAGCAGAAAATATTATAATATTCAACACATCTGCAACCCCAATTTGGAGTATGTCAAGAAATCAAAAAAATGCATACACAAACTGATATCAATGGAACATGATGAGAGAGCAAATAATATAAATATTATGGGGCTCTCTGGAAAGTCAGCCCCCGTTTGAGGAGCGTCGCCTGGTAGCGCGCCTGGGCAGGGCTGACGAGAGCGACGAGTTGCTTGATGAGGTCCTGAATCTTGAGGGATGGTCCAACCTTCATGCCTGTGAGCTCCATGACTCGACCCGGTGTTTGGTTCAAGGCCAGCAAAGATGGGCCATCGATGCCCTATAAAATGCGTCAGTATTTTAAAACGTCATCAGCACCGACACCTAACGGCCACAAAATATTTATTAATTGGCCGTCTTTCAAAATCAATGAATATGAAAATCAAAATAAACAAAATATGTCATTGCATGCGTTAAACATTTTGAAATTTATGCAAGAATTAAAGATCAGACACATTTACCATCAGTTCACTCAGTTTCAAGTATCCTTCAGCATCACATACCTCCTGCTGAAAATTGGACGAGTAAGCAGAACAATCGTTCTTCTCGAGGAAGGCGACCACATCGGTGCAGGTCCAGAGTTTAGGCTGCACTTTACTCCCGTCTTTAATAGGGCCGTCGATGAGGCGAGGAATGTAGAGAGGTTGCTGCTCTTGCTGCTGCTGTAGCAACAGCAGCTGATCTGAGGCGACCATGGGTACGGCCGTCAATCCGAAATTCATGGTTCCAGTGTTGAGATTCGAGGCTGCAAACGTCAACACGAGAATGGGTTGGTAAAATAAAAAAATTCATAGCCGATTTCAAAAGTTTCTAAATAAACTGTCAAGATTAAATTTTTTATGCGATTTAAACATAGTTTAAAATAACAAGATCATTGAAACAGAATTGCTGAATTGACGCGAAAGAAATTCTTCTGTCCAGCGAGGACAGACGGAAGGTTCAACAAACATTTAGACAAATGAGGAACAGAATATTAATAGAAACGGATTATATACCACAGGTGCTGCAGAGAGAAACATTAATTGAACTAATTTCAACAGGCTCGACGACTTAACTTGTGTATACCAACGTTCAGAGAAGAGATAAAATGAAAATTGAAGACTTTCAACAATGCGATTTGTATGGATTACATTAATATGGTTAATATGCGACTATATTAATATGGTTATATAGTATTGATGAGATACCTAGATGTATGGGGAGCTGAGTAAGCTGCAGCTGCTGGGAGCCGACATTGGGAGGCATCGTCATAGCCACCAAGGCCGTAGGGCCGAAAGTGTCGTTCAGCTCTGGCGATGTCAGCGCCAAAGTTTGGAAAGTTGAATTCGGTAGCAACGTCCCAGCGGTCTGAAACAAAACGCATCGATTTCAATGCTACCTTACGACCTAAAGTGTAGGTTGCATACATAATTCAGTAGGGAAGAAAAACACCTTATTATTATATTACACCAAACACCTTATTAAACAAATGGGATATAACAAGTAGTAAGGAGAGCAAAAAGAAAAAATTTGAAATATTTTACCGAGACAGAGCTAAAAAGAATTCTAGATAGTTCTTAAAAATTAAAGCCATGAATTAGTGCTACGAAATCAATTCTGTACAAAATCAGTGCAATAAAATCCAAACTATTTCCCAGTCAAGCCAGAACAACGCACAGATTAGATAAGACTAAAGTAGCAACCTGTCCATTGATGAACGTAGTTTGCCCAGCTGGGGCCAGAGTGACATTTTGATTCCATACGGACGTTGGCGTACAAATAGATGCCTCAGTAGTTTGAAGCTGATGTTGTAGGTATTGATCAGAACACAGCGAGTCTTGTAAGCCGCTTGAAGGGAAGCTATCAGAAGCGAATAGATCCTGCTGGAAATTCCAGGGATGATAGTAATGATAATTTTCAGAGCAGTAGGACACGCAATCGATTCTCTATCAGGAAACCATCATTAATTTTAATAATGTTTACATTTTAGTTAGACAACCTTATTTGTAATTTTAATTTCTATTGGTCGATTTTAGTAATATTCAATAAAATAAATTCATTGCATTCTAACCATAGCTTGCATTCCGATCAAACTCACGTGATCTTACTTGGTAACTTCAAATGAAAACCACTCACCAAAGAGGGCTCGGCAGGCAAAAGGGCAGCCGGCAGCTGCTGTTGCTGCCCTGCCCCAAAAGAGTCTTTGAGGTCATTACCGCCTGGTACTTGCTGCAGAAGTTGCTGCTGTTCGATGACAGACGGCGTAGGGGTGGTAAGACTGCATCCTCCATCAGTTCCGTTCAAGGCTACCTGTTGCCCTTGTTTGAAGTGACTCGCATCAGAGGCCCAATCGTCTAAAGAACAGCCGTCACTGTCAGCCAGAGATGCGACACCCGATGAGGTATCCTCGTCTAGAAATGAAACAAAAAGTTGAGAATAAACCTGTGACAAGAGAAGAATTTACACGTTTTTAATAAATATTTTTGTAGATTATCATACACTGCAGCACAACACGAGATAGTTCTAGCATCAACGTGAAGCAAAGGTTTTAAAAACTTAAGCCTCAAACTAACCGGAATGGTCATCCATGTTCTCGGTGTCGGCAGTGTGCTCGATGCTGAGCTCATCCTCGAGGTAGCGGTCTACGGACATGTGATTTTCAGAAGACAATATGTCGTCGCTACTGCTGTTGCCTACTCCTAGGCTGCTATCCTGCGTCGCGTCACTGGCGGCACGGAACTTCCTAGGGCGCCCACGGCGGCCTCTGTTGCCTCGACCTCGAGACGCCACGCCGCGCGTGTTGAACTCGTTGGAAAATGCTTCACTGCTTTGTCGACCTGTGCACAATAAATATTTTTGTCAAAGAGTTTTGTGCAAAATAATCGAGACAATTAAAAAGTTTATTTTATTAACAGAACAATGAAATGCATTAACGAATTCATTGGACTTTGTGCATGTATACACATAGGATTCTTAGAACTCGTTAACTTTTTATTAACATTTTAACATAGACATATTTTATTTTAACATAGACAAATAGCGTATAAACAACAAATTCACAATAAATACAACATAAGCAAGAATTCAGATGTCAGGCAAGACACTAATAGTAGGGACCCTAGGTAGAGCAGCAGCAGTGTAGGTTGAACTGCTCACCAAGCTGAGTTCCTTCAGATGGAATGTTGGACAAGACGTCTCTGACGCAATCCTTTATCCTGACGCTCTCCTTGCCCACTCGCCCTCTCCTAGCGACGTTGGCAGGGGCAGGGGGCGCCACGGAAGCGCTCCCGCCGCCTCTGCGTCTTCGGCCACCACCGCGGGTCTTGGAACGTCGTCTTGGCCCTGATGCTCCTGCATGTGCTGGAAAACGAGTTAGAAATTCAGACATGTCATAGGAGATTAGGCGCAATCTCACGAGCTGCGCAAAACATTGAATAGTCGAAGCATAATTAATAAATAGCATACGTTGTTTGATTCCGAACTGCGTCTAGGTTATGAGATTTAAAGAATATGAAGCTATATCGCGCTGAACGTCACGCACAATTTTAAGGGTTAACAACCAGGCATATGAAAATGTTTCCGGAAACCCCAGAGTCATATGTATACATTTCAAGGTCTCGAGTGTTTCAAAAGGAGGACATTGCTCGATGCATCATTCTCTGGTGGTGCCCAGTGTCGTGCGTCGGGATCAAATCGACAGAAAATAACTGAGAGATGAAACTTTTGCAGAATAAATGCGTCAGGGCCTGGGGAGAAAGAAGTCTATGCAGTCTACCCATTTCAACTGTCGTCCATGCAGGAATCACAATGCATCATTGGTGGCACGTTTTGATGTGGACCAACACAGATTACGGGGCATAATTTGAGTCATAATTTTTCCAGCCTTACATAAAGGCAAGTGTAATCAGGTAGACGAGTTGAAAAAGATAATAGACACATTCTACACATTAAGCTATGCATAGTAACGGAACGACTCTCGCACTCGCAGGGCATCACCAAAACATTGAAGCATAATACTCTGACAGGAGGAGTAACCTGGCAGCTGTTAGGTTCTTACGAATTCGCGTCAACATTGGAAAATTTCACATTGTAAAAGTTTTTAACTAAATTAGAGCTTCACACTCTGCGTTAGAGTTGAGGAGAGGCAAGGGTCGAATGGCTTCGGTGCACAGACGAGTAGCACTATAGAGGACCTGGTCCAGCAAGTTTGCCAAGAAAATATTCCCCCAGGGAACCCTAAAAATGTAGCCTCTACAGCCTAGCATTTTTGCAAGCTTTGCCTTAAGCAAGGACAGGGTGACACGACTAGCACAAGCATAAAAAATTCATGTATAAATCTTTAAACTGGTGTACCAAATTGCAAATATTTTCGAAACCAATGAAGCAGGCCTTAACTCTCACATTTTGTGTCAAAGAAATAGCATACTAACCAGCATGAGGAGGTCCCTCGAGTCTGTAAGATACCATCTGGCACCAGCCCACGGGATAGATGTCAGTGCTATGGCAGTCGATCCATTGGTCAAAGTCGCTCTCCCATCCATCAAAGTGTATTTGCAGGAGGCGGCCGTGAACGGCCTTTACGGTGGCCACGCAAACTAATCGCGGATCCATCAGATCTGTTGCTTCCAAATGCATGTCTACCTCAAAACCACAGCGACCAATATCCTGCAGTTCAAAAAGTACAATGTTTAGAATAAAATAACTTAGAGTCACTTAGTTTTATGAAGAATGCATTGCTAAAATTACGGAAAAAGTTTTTTAATGCAATAATATCTCAAACAGATACAAGAAAAATATGCAATAAAACGAATGAATTACATTAGTATGTAGATATTCAAGATTAGAGAATAAAAACTAACTCTATTGAAGAGAGCAGGTGGGGCAGCCGTCGCTTCAGTGGTCTTGAGATAATTGTACCACGAGAAGTCTCCTTCATAGCCTTTAGGAGGAGAGAGTTTAATTTTATTGATTTGGCAAAAACCAGCGGGGAAAATGCAAGGGGAAGTTGCGTGGTAGCAGAACCAGTCGGAGCCAGTGTCGTCATTCTCATAGCTGTCTATGCGGATCATGAGGTAGTGATCCCTTAGTACCTGCACAATACCAGTCACGTCATAACATAGTTCAATATATTTCAGTATGAGAATTAGATAATAAAGAAATATGGATACAAATTATTCAATATTACGAAGGATGAATTTTGATCTTTAATTGGAAGAAGGGATTATGATCTCAAGTAGAGAGGATCAAACTAGATAATACAGTAGATATATCATGCATTGTGGCCTAAAGCACAAAAATTAATATATAGTGATTTCAGGTAGGAAAGATCAACTAAAACTTCAAGTTGGGAGGATGATCTCCGACCTCAAGTAGGAAGTATCGAAAAAAATAGGAAATATTAACTAAAGCATTAAGTAGGAATTATGAACTAGAGCCCCAAGTAGAAAGTATGGACTGCAATCTCAAGTAAAAAGTATGAGCCAAAACCTCGTGTAGGAAGTAATAACTATAACCTGAAGTATAAAGTATGAACCAAAACCTGAGGAACGAGAAGCACACGACAGTTACCTTCATAACCGTAGCAACACAGATAGATGCGAGATTGAGCGGATCAATGGCTTCGAGTTTCATGCCTTTGGCAAAACCAGCATTGGAAGAATCGCCATTGCGAACATATGCTGGCACGGGGGGCTGTACGAACAGGTGAGGGGGTGCGTCTGTTTTCTCATACTCGCCACTAATGCACTTGTCGTGGTATGACTGACTTGCAACAATCTCATGGCCAACATCTCGTGACCAGCCAATAGGGTGAATGATTGGTGCATCTTCGTGACACCAAAAACCTGTACAAAATTAACCAATTATAATTGAAGGCACAAAATATTTTGAGTGGAAATTAAAACTCATAGATACGAGATGGGCTAAGACTCATCTCTTAACAAGCTCGCAAGATTTTGACAATGCAACACCGAATATTATGATGTAACATTGATAACAAATTCATTTTGGCTGCAGGGAATGATAAACCTTCAGGGCCTTCAAGTTAACAGACCATTATCATGAGGAGGTGCGCCGTGGTAGCGAAGATGAAGTCGCTTGCCCACAACTTCAGTAACGGAAGCTACACGCATCTGTGCTATGCGGTTCTTGTCCACAACCTCTACGTTGAGGCCAACCCTGCATCACAAGGACATTTGAGAGAATATTACAGTTTAATCCATCAGTGTTAATGTTGCAGAGTTAATCACCAAACTTAGTACTGGGTGAAAAAGTTTTGCTACAAGAAATGATGTGAACTTTATAACAATATGTTATTAATAGTTAAAGAAAAGGATGTTTAGCTACAGGCATGACAAAATCTATGCTGTTTGGCACCAGATAAGACAAATAAGACAAATAATTCATTTGGTTGTTAAATTGATTATTATACTTGATAACTAGTAAAATCGTATAGGAAGCATTGGCACAAATGAAATTCATTTTTGGCCGAACAAATTATATTAGCCTATTTCTTTAAAAAAGTAATGTGCCAACTCCTTAGTAGAGAATTAACTTAGTTTGTGAAGATATTCTTACTTGAATCTAGACTTGTGGCTGTCCATAACTTTCGAGTGAAAATTTGATGGTAATGTCCTGGCACCGGTGAGGCGCTTCATCAAAAACTGCTTCCAGTCGGAATATTTATCTTGAATGGAGCGTGGAGGGATAAGTGGCTTTCCTTGGGAAGCACACCAGCCCACTGGATGAACTTCTTCACTACACAAATCCACCCAGAAATCACAGCTGCTGTTCTCCACGAAGCCTTCAAAACGAAGACAGGCCTTGTACCCTAGACAAATAAAAATTTTTAGTCACCGCACGAAGAAGAAAATGAAAACAATAGACGAGGTAATAGGCATATCAATGAGTAAATTGAATTTTTATTTCAATGAATCTGAGAACAGTGCTAAATTAAATATATCTTAACTATCACTAATCTTTAAATAAGTTACACACATGCAGCCCTCTTAATTCGGACGAGAATTTCACACTGAAATATTGATTTAAATTAGATATATTTATAATAATATTAGCAGATTCTGACCAAAATTTCCAACCAATTCCTTGATAAGTAAGGACCAATAAATGAATTTGTTCAAAATACCTGCAATGCCCATGACTGTGGCAATCCAATAAGCGTCTTTAGTGACGCCTTCAGAGCCACAAGCTACCTCCACCTTCATGCCAACGCCCATCTGCTCCCAACACTCGGACATGGGCGCCTGCACAATCAGACAACAATTAGGTCAGTTAATTCTTGAACTTGAACTCGAGCTTGCCACTTACCATGATTTGCATGTAGATCCAAGCAACAGAGATCATCCAGTAAATTCAAAGACAGTTCAAAGTATCAGTGAGATTAATTATGATGAAAAATTAAGGACAAAGATGGATTTATAGCATAAAATTAAATTTTTCAAATACAGGAGCCATTTTAGCATTTGTATTATAGATTAATAAGAACAATGACACATCATAGATTGTTCTTGCACACTAGATGAGAAAGGTTCCATCTACCCTAATGTGTGGAAATAACTGCTACATGGAATTTAAGCAAGGTATTCAGAACCAAAAAGTAAAATTAATGTCACCAAGAGAAAATTTCATGAAGAGTTCCGAAGTAATATAAAATAGAAATAACTTAATGATCAAGCCAGAACAAGAACTTACATGTGGAAAACATTTGACTGGAACAGCTCTAAAGTAGAAATAACTTCATAACCAAGCCAGAACAAGAACTTACATGTGGAAAACATTTGACTGGAACAGCTCTAAAGTAGAAATAACTTCATAATCAAGCCAGAACAAGAACTTACATGTGGAAAACATTTGACTGGAACAGCTCTAAAGTAGAAATAACTTCATAACCAAGCCAGAACAAGAACTTACATGTGGAAAACATTTGACTGGAACAGCTCTAAAGTCTGGTTTCTTGAGATAAGTGGTGGTCCAGTCATATGACTTGGCAGCTTCATAGTGCTGGCTGCCTGTAGTGTCAGTATCGGTGGTGGAGGGAGCTGGACTGTCGCACTCTCCACTGTTGCTTGTGTCTTCGTTGATACTAAAACTTGATTGCTGCTGGAGAGAAGCTTTGCAATCTGATGATGATGATGAATCTCCACCAGCAATGTTTTGGCCATTTGAAGCACTTATGCTATCATTCGTCTGAAAGTATACATATTTTAGAACATATATTTCGAGAAGAGTATTTTTCTTAAGAATAGGTATATAAGAATACATATATTTCGAGAATTTTTTTCCTGCTAAAGGTAATGTTAACTCCAAACAACACCTTAATGAATAAAACATTCCTTACCTTCTTATAAAATCAATTAAAATTTACTCCATATAAAACTACAAAAACACAAAGTATCAAGCTGAATTTAATTCCATATGCATTTAAGTTCATTTACAATTCATGAAGTTCAAACTATCTGTCCACAGATCTCAAGTTTTATATTAACATAGCCAATTCAATGATTTATTTTCACTATAACTCACTTCATCATTATCCACATTGTCAGGAGCATTGTCAGTGCTGTCGTCATTGGTGCTGAGCTCAGGGCTGTTCTTGCTGGCTGATCCCGAGATCTGCAGTGCAGGTCTGGCACAAGCGAGGCTACAGTACTTGCGCTCCTTACCATAGAAGGCATGCTTCACTCCAATGGCTCCACATTTCTCACACACAGCTGCAAATTGCTTTTGTTTTAGACTAGAGATAAAATTACAATGGGTAGATTAAACAGAAAAAAAAAGTTGAGCGATATGTACAGGGAACAATAAGTGGTATTCAGTTTGAACAACAGCACCAGTTTTACTAATCAATAAGTTTACATACAGAGAACAACTCCCATTACCCTATAACTTGGTGCAGCAAAGACTGGCCAGTTATTGCGGACGTCGCTACTAACCTTGAGCGTAACAGATTTGTTCAAATTCTCTTTAAATTTGAAGTACCAATGTCCTTTACAGCAATTCAATTAGCACATACTATTATATAATAATTATAATTATCCATTCTGTAGTTGCTTTAGGAACAAGACTTTCAAATGACAGTTACCGTATCAATTTAACAGAAAAATTGAAAGACGGTTACAAGATTTTCTACCTGTTACCATTGTGATAAATTTTATGTGCCACAATGTTTAAATTAACCCTCAGAAGGTTGAATAATGTGGCAAATTACTCACTAATTGTTAATAACTTTTATAAGTGTTCAGTAACCAAAACACAACAATAAATACAGATAATATTCAGAATAGTTAGAAGAATTGTACTCATGATTGGAGGCTTTGATAATATAAAGTAAATGGAACAAGAACATTAGAGAAAACCACACTGCAAATGACAAATTCATTAAAACTTGATACATTCAAAAATACAGTAAATTAAGATAGTAAAAAAAAAACAAACAAATAAAATAAATTCAATAAGATGAGCTCATAAATTTCTCACCCATTCCTTCTCTCATGATGGGAATAGCATTCAAGTCAGTGTCCTTCTGATAAGCAATAGGAGTCTTCAACTTGAGAGCAGGATGATGGTGGACCTGAAAAAGTCAATTGTTTTCAATTTAATAAAAGTTAATTATAAACATCCAACAATAAAATAATATGAAACCAGTAGTTATTTACTAATCAGCCTGAATAAGCATCGAAAATGACATCATGGAGATTTGTGCATCAACTTACCTTGGGTTTCTTAGTCTTTGGCACAGGTAAAGGGTCAGATTCTTCATCCATATAATTATTTTGAAAGCCAGACTGATGACTGGCATGTTCTGAGGGAGTGTTAGGATCGTGCTGGCCAGAAGGTAGCATGGACTGACCCCCTGATGAGTCATCATCATAATTCTCAAGTGTTTCATACATGTAGTCAGGAGGTGTGATGTAGTCACCAGTGCTTGCATCATAAAGCTGCAAATGAAAAATCATTTCAATGTTTGTGAGACAAAGCCATCAATGACTATAAACATGTTTTGAAAGAAGAGAAAGGTTTTGAAAAACATTAGTTACATTGTTTTTAAGACAATGAATGATTATATATCTCCTATATAGAGAGTGTCTTCTCTGACCTATCCAGCCATTAAATAGTGAACTGCATTATAAGCTTGGTTACCCATATAAATATGCAGTATAAAATATAAATTAAACACTGTTGTGTCAATGATAACTACAGGAGCAAATGATCAGAATAAAATGTCACCTACATCATATATTTCATTACATGTATATATTTAAAACAAAATTAACTGTCAAACGTTGAAAAAATTAGTTACAATAACAATTCCACAGGATTTAGCAGAAGTCATCTCACTTACCATTTGAGTATGATGAGTTTGCAACATTGGGGAAGGATCTGCATAAGCTGGGGTAGTAATTGTGGGGTGCAAGAAATGTTGGCTGGTTGTGATGGTATGATGGGTCTGTTGGGGAGGCTGTGGCTGAGGAGTGGATAGTGTGTGGAGCTGGGGAGTGTTGGAGAGGTGTGGGTGCTGGGCAAGCAGTGGGCGAGGGTGGTCTGAGAGAAGAGGTGGAGGTGCAGTCCCTGAGTTGAGCAGCACATCAGCAGGGTCAGCGGTGTTGAATGGAACCCCAGCAACGCCATACCAGAGTAACCCCAAATCTGAACAGACAGAGATTGATTTCATTAGCAAGGATGAGGATGGATGGTTGGCTGACTCTTAAGGCTTAAGAGTCCAAATTTAGTTCTAATAAAATGAGTTAGAGGAGCCAGAACACACAAGGGCATAGGGGGTTCTCACAAAAGGTTCTCTCCACAGCATTGTAACAAGATTCCATAAAACTGCTTCACTAATCTTCCTTTCAAAACTTGAAATTGTTCTTCAAGAAGTTTAATCCTAATAATCTCATTGCTCAGAAAAAAATTGAACTAGGTACTTGACTACTCCAAGAACTCCACACTGGGCATGATATGGTAGAAGTTGTTTTTGCTTTACTTCTTATTTTCAACTGCGCATATTGCATCAAAATTATTTCTGTGATTTATGTTGGATAAGAACCAGCCAATTAATGTCTGGTCAGACATTCTAATTAATCCTCATTTCACTATTAAAATCTTGCAAGCCTTGCGAAGCAGCAGGACAAAGAATTGATAGGGGCTTCATACTCTTATGTATGGTATCCCCAGAGCTGGGCAGCGCTACTTGGAAATGTAGCGGCGCTACCGCTATCGCTACATGCTCTAAATGTAGCGGGCGCTACCGCTACCGCTACACCCACTAGATTGTAACGGGCGCTACCGCTACCGCTACAGTAAAATGTAGCGCGCTACATTAGCCGCTACAATGGCCAAAATTATTGGAAATCTCAAAATATTTATTGGTCTGCTATTGGGATTTACTCATTAACATTTAATGATAATAAAACATTTTTAAAACATATCAATGCAACTTTATTGCAATTAACCTAACCGAACTAGTATGGGTTACCCCAGGGTTAGATACAGCGGTAGCGCTGTAGCGGCAAAACCTCGTATCGCTACTTAAATATGTAGCGGGCGCTACCGCTACCGCTACATTGCCTTAAATGTAGAGCCGCTACCGCTACCGCTACTGAAAATGTAGCGGCCGCTAGTAGCGGTCGCTACATGTAGCGCGCTACTGCCCACCTCTGGGTATCCCATGTATGACAGGGCATCACTGTTGGCCTGCAATGCAGGAAATATAAGGATAAACATAAAACAAAAATATGCCTATGCTGAGAAAAAAATATATGCCATATCCTGGAGGTACTATCAAAATAAAGTAATTTCTGTTTCTTAACAATGAGCTTCTTCTAAGAGACATGACAAAATCAAAACCTCACAATGGGGAACAAAATCATTTAGGAGCCCTGTTTTGTTATAAGAGTTATCTGAATTAAGACGAGTAATGAGTGGCAAGACAATATTGAAAAAATGTGCAAAAAATTTTGTTTAAGGAACCACAAAAAGAGGTGGTTAAATTATGAAATGACTTCTCATCACCTAATCAAATCTCACTGTGGATCAAATCTAGTTATGATGAAATTTAATTTGACATTGCCCAAACAGGGAGTCAGACATCTCCAGTTGTTCATGGCACTCGACATATACTTCATATCAGGTGCCCTGACATACACTTCATATCATATCATACACTACAATAAATTGATAGATATGGTTTTTACGCATCAAATGATATGCATCTTGATGTTGTAGCTTGAAAATCCTAGATTTCAATCAAGGAGATTACCCCCTTTTTAGGCAGTTTTCTAAAAATTTCATGTTTTCTTTCATTTTTTTAAATTGACAAGAATAAAAGAAGCTGTCTATTTTTCAGTTTTACACGTGTATACCAAGTTTCAAAGTGATCGGTCAGTAAATAGCCAAGATAAAATTTTGGCCAGACGCTCCCCAGATGATTTTATCATTGAAAAATTTTCATTACTCTTAATAAAAAAATATATACATATTTAATGTGCATTACAGTACAACACTGCAAATGGAAAAATAAAAAAATATGCAAATTTTCATTATAATTTTTATTTGCCTTGTCATGAATAAATGTCATGTTAAATTATGATATGCAGCAAAAACAATCTTTATAGCTGAGGCCACAATCGGAATTGTCAATGAGCATGTCTCAAGTTATTCGATATGTCTGTAAACTAGAAACAAAGTCTACATCCCATCATTAAGTGGTTCATCTTGCTATGTCCTGTTATAAAAGATATAAATTCTGGGAAATTCTAAACCTCCTATTTTAACCAGGACATCTCGTCTCAGTATCGAACCGGAATTCCCACCGAGTGCTGAAAATTGCCCTGGTTTTTATTGCGAACTGGGACAAAGCTTCTTTGTCTTGTCTTGGTTTGAAAAAAGTTAACAACGCAGGAGTCTATTAGGAACCACTCATGAATTGGACAAAAATACCTGTGAATCTTTCTAATTTCACCAGCTACCTAGGCCTTCTCCAGAATTTCTTCGGTGAAAAATAAGATATATATATGCCTATTCTTACCTGTAATTGAAACAAAAATTACCAGGCAAAGTATCATTTATACCTGTGATTAGGAAACTAGTGCTTAGCCCATATATTCTAAAACCTAATTGGTTAAAACTTAGATCCTATGCCAGTTTGCATGTGTTGATGTAGACCAGGGCTGGAGAAGTCTTATTTTTGTCTGAAATATCACAGTTCTGATATCATATAATTTCAGTAGGTATGAAATTTTGTGGCTCTAATTTCATAATTTTTTTTATTGAAAAATTGTGATTTGCACTTCGCAAACATGTTTCATAAAATTTTCAACTTCCACAATCCGCAGTATATATACTTCAATGCTCCCACCTTTTGTCATTTAATGCCAATGCTCCCACCTTTTGAATTTTTTGAGCCATGGTTTTATGGATTTGCCAGATGTGATTCCATTTTTCAAGCCGTGAATTCCATATCTCGGCCATGAAAAGTCATTACAAGGCGTGAATTTATTTAAAAAGTCCATGCACATGTTACCCTAAATCTCTAATTTTACCCTGAAATGGTCAAATGGCAACAATAACATTTGTCTTTACTGTAAGCTGAACATGTCTTAATGCAGTCTGATGTGACTGCAACTATGTGTGATCTTTAAAGAAATGTTTTGGCTGACTTGTTTACATTCCGAAGATTACGTTCTACAGGATATTTTGGCAGAAATGGTAAAGAAATGCGGATTGCGGAAGTGGAAAATTTTACAAAATGACATGTTTGTGAAGTGCAAACCACTATTTTTTCAATCAAACAAAAATTTTTGACATTCAAGCCGCTCAGCTGCAAAATTGAAGAAAAAATAGGACTTTTCCAGCCCTATGCAAGTAGATATCTTCCGTGCCTGATGTAGACAATTGCAGCATAGGGTAAACGCACCATATTCCGACACTGTGGGTACTTCCGACACCCCTCAACTTTTTCCTTTATATTAAGCTTGGTCTTAGTTCCACGCATGTGTAGATGGTTGAAATAGTGACGTCATACTATTGCGTGCCAGATTTCCGCAAAACACTAGGTTTAGCAGGAAAATGTTAAGATCCCCAGAGCAAAAGTCCAAGTCAACTAGTGAGAACATCAAAACCTGTATGAAAGTTGATAGTTAACCTTGCTTTACTAAATAGTGATAAACTGTTTGTTTAGAATGAATATTATGGTTTGAGACTTGTAAATAAGTCTGTGAATATATTAGGAATCCCCTAAGTATACTTGTATTTGCTGATTTCAAGTGGTAAATAAATTAATACATGATTGATTTAAGAGATGGTTTTAGACACATTAAAACTAGTTCTGACACGGTGTCAGAATTATGACACACAGTCATGACACAGGGTGTTGTATTCTGACACAGCTCACACAGGGTGTCGTATTCCAACACAGCTCACACAGGGTGTCGGAATTCCAACACGGTGTCAGAATTACAAATTACAATTTTGAAGCACTGTCGGAATTAGTCTCACAATATGCCGCATTTAGTCACACACCACTGTGTTACGAGTGGATGAATAATGCAAGATCTTTGGCAACGCTTCAGTAGCATAATTTACGCCTTCAGAAGATTTTGCAGACACATTTAGATTGAAATTCTTGCATTTTATATATTTGTCAGTCTTTGGCCAAATTGCCAACTGCCAACTATTTAAAAAAAAGTAAGGTTTCCGGTACGTTGGATGGATCAGGATGCAGTGAAGCTTGTCCGGAAATCAGTTGCGATGATTTCCTGCCATAATATCCTACGCAAATGTAAACAACAAATTTACGATTGTGTAGTTGCGGTCACATTAGAGCGGTCAGACTGCATTATCGCATGTTCAGTTGACACTTGCTGTACAAACGGACTGTTTTTAGGGTAAAATTAGTTATTTGGGGTAACATGTGCATGCAACCTTGTAAATAAGTTTGTGTCTTGTAAATAGTTTTTCATTACTCAGCGTAAATAGCTTTTCATTAAAAATTAACTGGCGACGCATCTTGAAAATGGTTGGCGACGCATTGGGCTTAAAAACCCATATATTGGCGACGCTGCTTCCACCCTCTGCACCCTGAGTCACACACAGATTCGGATTTTAGCGATTTTGTAGATTTGAATTCTAAAGGCTTTTAAATAAATATGGCACCAGTTTGTGATGTTTCATCATTGCTGGCATGTAATGTGGTGTTTTGAGAGTGATGTAAACCAATCAGAACTCGAGTTGTGCATAGGGTAAACGTGGTATATTCAGACACATCAAGGACGTAGCAAAAAATGAATGGCTATAAAAAATCACCGTATGCGCAACTCGAGTTCCGTTTGCTTTATGTCACTCTCAAAACACCGCACTATGTGCCAGCAACAATGAAACGTCACACACTGTTGCCATATTTATTTAAAAGCCTTTAGAATGCAAACCTACCAAATCCATATATTCCAACACCGTGTGTGACTAAATTCAGCATTTTGTGAGACTAATTCCAGCAGCGCTTCAAACTCTACTAATTTGTAATTCCAACCCTCTTGTGTTCGAATTCCAATCGCTGTGTGAGCTGTATTAGAATATGACACAGCTCAGAATTAGAACACTACCGTATTGAATATTGAACACTACTTAATTAAGCTTTTAATTAAGAGCTATTA